GCAGGAATCCCTTGTCTTGGGCTGAGGTCGCCCCCAGCCCAGGGCCCACCTGAAGACCTAGGAAAACGGCCCAGACTCAGGATTGGGCTGCGAGTCCCCCAAATGACTGTGGGAAACCAGTTTCTCATTGTGAGATGAAGAGAGCCAGTTTCCTGAGGCCAGAGTGAGCCTGAAGGCCCCAGGGCTGGGCCAGGAGAGCAGAGGGTGAGACCTGGCTGGTGTCTGGGGCACAGCATGTTGGGGAGCTGACTCGGGGCTGCTGGGGACAGTCAGGGCTGTTAGGAAGGGCCTGGGGCACTTCTCCCTGCTGGGGCCAGGGGAGAGCTACCTCTGGATGAGGACCTGCTGGTTCCCATGTAAGTCCCTTCCCTGCCCCACCCTGGACCGCAGTACCTGAGCCTTCCGGGGTAGAGCGCACGTAGGTGGGCAGCATCTTCACACTGGCCTCCTCGTGTGTCTCCAGCCTCAGGCCTCGGTCCATCTCCTTCTGCATCCGCCTCATCACCTTCTTCAAGTCTTCCTCCTGCAGCTGGAACTCCGCCAGGATCTGTTCCACCTGCACAGGGAGGGAGATGGGGAACAGCTGGGCAGACGAGGGGCTGTGCAGTACGGGGAAGGGGGACCACAGAGTGTATGTTTCCCCCACACACCGATGGTCTCCTTTTGCCCCCTGACCCTGGGTCCAGGATGGCCCATCAGTTCAAACTACCACAGTCACAACCAGTTGAAAAATTAAGACAGCACAGTTCCAACACCAGCTTCCAAACAAATGCAGCTTGGGGCGTGTTGGAGGGTGAGGGGCAGAGGGCAGACATGGCACCTCCCTTTGTACCCCTGATCCAGGCCAGGGGAGGAGGGTGGCGCTAACAAGGAGAGTGAGTGAGACACGGGCTGGAGGAGCCCGCCTGGAGGGCGATGGGCAGCTGGCGTTACTGTCTAAAAGATCCGATCATTATACCTCTAGGGATCTATGCTAAGGGAGTTAGTGGGCCAGTGCGTACACATGTTCATAAGTGATGGTCAAGACACACTACTTAGAGGTGAAACCAGTTAGTTAGAGGTGTCTGGTGGACTAAAAAGCATGGCAGACCATAGCCTGGAAGGCGCTGAGGCCCTCAGAGGAAGGAGAGGTCCCTATACATTGACAGGAGGGAGACTGGCACACAAAGCTCAGATTCGATATCGCCATTCCCGAGTATGGACGGCCTGCGTTGGGTCCTCCTCCCGCACCCTCTGGGGGAGTGGCCGCTTGCTCATCCCTTCATGGTGGCATGACATTGGGCTTAAACACCGTGCCCATGCTCACTAGTCCCCCGGAAGCAGGGACCATGCTCTGACCTTGCGTGTGGACAGTGGTGTGGCTGCCCTTTCCCCTTTGCACAATAGCACGTGTTCATGGAGAGAAGACCACTTTGATTCCCTACATATGTGGACCAAAAAGAAAAGGGAGGATACTCGAATAAAAGCCGTGGGTCCACTCTTCAAAAAACTCATACTCTCTCGCTGGCAGTTTTCCATGTAAGCTCGCGGGGTGGAGATGCTCTGAATTCCAATCAGGAGACAACAGAGCTGCTTGCCCCTTCTTCCTCAGTTTTTAGAGCTCACATTTTGTTGGGGGCCTGGGGAGCTATCACATCAAAGGAAGACAGCCCCTTCCTAGGCCCAGGGGACAGCCCATGACTGGGCTAAGCCAAGCCCAGCTATCTTATCCCCTTTTGCTGGTGACTTGGTTTAGAGACGGGCATGTGGCCCAGTTCTGGCCAGTGTCAGGTGAAGGGAAGCCTGATTTTAGCAGGAGGGGGGCCTTCTGGGAAGGTCAGCACACCTCTAACTTTGTGAACACAGCTGTATGAGGGTGTGTTGACCGGCACTGCAGCAGCTATCCTGAACCACGAGGAGACAAGGTTGAAGAGAAAAGGCTGTTAGCATATTATAGATGGCAGAGAAGAGAGACAGAGTGAGCCCAGCCCTGATGACATCACTGATGTGCTGAGCCAACCCTGGACCCCCCCACCTCCAAGTGCCGGTTGTGGGAATAGATACTAATCACTTAAGGCCACACAGTCAGTCAGGTTTTTAGTTTCCTGCAGCCCAAAGCATTCCTAATGCATACAGATCCTTACTTAGGAGCGAATTCTCTTACCAAGACCTCACACTTAGAATTTAAACCCAGGGAAGGTCACAAAGGGATGGGGCTGACAAAGTCTACGACAAGACACACAGAGTCAAACACCAGTATTTGCTAAGCCATTCTGCAGCTCTGGGGTGAGCTACAGCCCCAGATGGGGTGAGGGTGCAGCCCACCCCAAGGCTGTCCCGGCAGGACATACCCCCGGAGAGGCCCTCACGCTCTGTGAAACAATCCAGGCTGTCCTCAGAGGCCCATGCCTACAGCTTGGCCTCGTCTCTGTTTCTTTCACACACTTTCAAGTAAAATGTGCCAGGAAGGAATAGTAACACTAACATTTGCTGAATCCTTCCAATATGCCAGGCTCTGAGGTGAGTGCACTACACAAGCTGCCTTTCATCCCTGACACAGCTCGGGGGAGGGGCCGGCACCCGCTCATCTTCTAGATGCAGCCACTTGCAGCCAGCACACAGAGTGAGGCCAGCACCCAAAGCCATGCACTCAAGGGCCGCTGTCAGAAGTCCTCAAGAGGCTGCCCGGCACCTCTCCCAAAACAGAACTGTAAGACATCACGGCTCTTAACAAAAGCGGTGCTGATCCTGCAAAGGTCCAGCCCTCAGGCCCCGCTGGGCTCCATTCCCTCCCTCTCCGTCATGGCAGCCCAGCCAGTGGCCACGAGCCTGGACTTATGAGGGGCCATGACCCAATGGCTTCACCCTCTGTGTCCAGGCCCATGTGGGCACAGTTTGGGAAGGGTGCTGGAAGGTTCCATGGCTGCAGTCCAACACTCCAGGCGGCCACAGGCTCACACGGGCCTCCAGAAACCCTCCCCTGAGGCAGTGGGGAGCGTCCTCCATGGTGGGTGCAAGCCCCTTTCTCGGGTGCACTGGGGTCTGCAGACACCACAGTTAGCCTGCAACCCTGAGAGGAGGCACTCCGACCTCACCCCCAAGGCTGCGTGTCTAGGCGGACGCCAGTTGGGTTCAAGTCACAGGGCAGAGGCCTGCCTCACAGACCCCGTGGGAACATCCCCAGAAGCAGGCACTGTGCACCAGGCCCCGCTTGGGGCATCCCCAGTTCTCCCTTACACTTAATCCCCCTGGAACCCAAGCATTTTATTATCTCCACTTCCTTTCCAAGGCCACAGATCTAGACGGCTCAGAGCTGGCTTTGAACCCAGGTACTGGCTCTGAGCCCACCTCCCCTCCCTACCCCGCTGGGCTGCCCAGCCCTTCCCTGAGCGCAGGCTGGGTGTCCGTGCAAGCTGGCTTAAAGTCTTGCCGAGCAGCCTAGGAACTGCGGGGTGCTGCTTGAGGAGCCCCAAGAAGCCACCTGTCCCCCCAGGTCACAGAAGAACAAAGCACAGACAGAGCCTGTCCCCCCAGCCCTGCCCCCATAGCTGTACCCCTGCCTGCTCCCCAGGAGGTCACAGGACACAGCATCAGGGCTCACGGCTGCACCCAAACATGGTGGGAGGGGGTCTCCTCCCTGAGCAACTCTTACTCTCCAGGCAGGGCCACTGCCACCATCTGACAGTGCCACAGCCCCCCAGGACTCCGGCTTCTGGTGCCCCGGCCCGGGGCTTTGCAGAAGAGCCAGACTGCCCAGTGCCCTCTGGCTTTACGGGGTCCTCCCATCCTGGCTCTCCTGGGATTCTCCAGGAGGGTCTGAAGCTGGCGGGTTGGGGACACACTTCCCTAGAACTATGCGGCAACTGGCCCAGGGTCACCCACTGTGTGTACACAGCCATCCCATGGCTGCAGCTGGACCCACGCAGGGCGCATAGTGCTCTCCAGGACACTGGGATGGGTTCTGGAGCTCACGGGGCACCCAGCGTTTGCCCAGGGGCCCCATGCCTTGGCCCTCTGGGGCCCGTCCACTGCTGTGCAGGTGTGGGAAGCCCTCTCAGACCTTTCCCTGTCAAATAGAAGCCCCACAGGATGTCCTGCTATCTTTCCTGAGCCCCTGGGGCAGGGTCCCAAAGCACTGACTGTGGCATAAATGGGGCAGGTGTCCCCAGCCGAGCCCCACCAGCCCCCGTCATCTCTGCCCAACCAGCTTGGCCCCTCCCACTTTGCTTCCAACCTGTACAGCCCATGGCCTTGTCCAGACCCATGCCCTTAAGGACTGTCCTCATACTGATGGCTGAGCGCTAGGAGGGGACGTTCTGCAGACTGAGAAGGGGTAGGTTGGGCTGGGGAAATCTGCCTGGTCTCTGCAGGCACATTGGCGTGTCTGTTAGCCAAGGGGAGATGGATGCCAAGTAGCAGTTGAATAGTGAGGCCAGAGCGCAGGGGACAGCCTAGCACTGTCAGTCCCAGGAACAAGTCCCCTAGAAGATGCTGTCCCTGGAGACCCCTCCTGGAGAGGCTGGACAGTGGGTATTGGGAGGGACCAGCTGCCTCTTAGCCTCCGCACCTCTGCGCCTCCTTCCAAGGGGTCCAGAGCTCCCCCTAACCTCCACTCTACCAAACCACTTGCCCTACCCACACAGGAAGAACCTGCCCCAGCCGTGGCCCTGGGGACCACTTGCCCTGGCTTTGGGGTGACCCTTACCAGATTCAAAGCTGTCTGGGCCCAGCTCCTTGTGGCCTCCATCGCCATCTCTCTGAGGCGCCAAAAGGTAGGTTTGCGGGGAGGTAGAGACACTCCTGTCTGCGGAGGCGCAGGGCTGGACTGCAGGCCGGGAGTCTGAGGCTCACCCGCGCAGGCCGCCCAGGGCTTCTGCAGAGAGTATTCAGCAGCTGGCTGTTGAAATACTCAGCCTACCGCCACCGGGTCAGACAGGGCCAAAAGGGCAGAGGAGGCCTGCCTGGAGTGAGGGGTGACAAGGGCCACGGGGGGAGGGCTGTGGGGTGGTGCCCCATGCCTTCAGCCCACCGGGGTGGGGATTCGTTGCCCAGAGTTTCTGCGGAGGGGGCAGAACCGTTCTATATGCGCTCCAGTCCTTGGATGTGCCAGGGCGGGCAGTCATCATGCTGCTCAGGTCAGGAAAGCACATTGCAGAGCCAGGCAGACAGGGCGGGGCTGCTGAGGGGCTGGCCCCATGCACGTCGAAGGGTCTGGGCTTGGTCTTGCACCACGGGGATCCCTGGCTAATTTTCACCTGGGGCCTGTCCTGTACTTGGGAGGGGAGACAGGCTGGTGGCTGGGAGGCCAGGCCTGAGGCCCTGAGCAAGGCAGGCTCCTCGTGAAGCAGGGCTGCAGAGGGCAGGGACCTCCTGGGCCACTCCTCTCCTGAACCCTCAGAGCCCTGCCGTGTGGCCAGTCAGGATAGGTTGGCAGGATTGGTTACGGTGGGGGGCAGGGGTGTTGCACGAAAGACCTAGGTTGGGTCATTGAGAGCCAGGCTCAGGCCCTGGGCAGAGGCAGGACTGGAGGGTGGGGGAGGGGTGGGGAAGTGAGGGGGAGCAGATGGAGGCAGGGCA